TAGACTTGCCTCGAATGGCACTGTGATGTGGGCACACGAAGCCACTGCCGTGTTTCCACTGGCTTTGAGCCACTGCTTCTTCCCAGCAGCGGGAAGGACTGGCAGGGACGCAGGGCGGGGGGCATTCCGGTGACCGGCTGAAGGACGTGGACGGAGGAAGCAGCAGAGACTCTCCGAGGAGGCGCACACGCTTGTCCCTGGCATCTGGCCCAGCCTTTGCTCAGCCTGTTAGATCATGCTTCTGCTTCAGCTCGTCAAAACAACGCACTGCCCAAGGATGCTCGAACAGGGCTGAAAAGAGACCAAGGCCCAGGAAAGGTTTGCTGTCGGCCTGGAGCAACTTTTCCTGATGAGGGCTTTCTGGATGTGTTTGAGACAGCACCCACCACCTGCAGTAGGGCCAGCTGGGGATGGTGGGATCTGTAGTCAAAGAGAGACTCTGCACAGTAGCACATTCCTATTTTGTATCAACCAACATTTCCTGAATGATGGAAAAGGAGAGAGGTTGGTTGACAGATACATGCTACCCTTACGAAACAGTCTTTTCTGAGCCTGCCTGGAGAGATTATGGGGGAATTGCACCCCCACATGCGACTTCAGGCCCCCTGGGGCAAAAGCTAAAAGAGCGGCCAGTCCTATCCCAGGCTCAAAACTGACTGCATTGGCAGTGGGTTCCTCTTTCGATGTGGCAACATCCTGCAAGACTGCCAGCTACTTTATCCCCGCACCAGAGAGGTGTGCTGCACGGCCCTCCGCCTGGAAAGCGGAGAGGGCCACGTGCAGTGTGCCCTTTCTGAGCCAGACAGAGCAGTGGGCTTACTCAGGGCAAGGCCACTTGGGATGGCAGCTATTCCACCGGTCGCCAGCAGTCCAACGCTGAAAGCAAATGCTACCCACAGGCTGGCAGTTTCATATGTCAGCTGCCAGAAAGCAATACCTGCTTCCTCTTGTCCAGTTTCTGTATCTCTCGCCAGCGATGCGGCATCTGAGACACTTTCCAAATGTCATCTCACCCAGTTTCCATGACAGCCTCGTGAAACGCGTCACAACCGTTCCATGGCACAGGTGGTCAACTGAGTCTCAGCCTTAGCAATGGGTCTGAGTTCAGCCACTGGGACTGGGCGAACTCCGTCTCTTTGAGCACCCAAATACTCCATTCCCCAGGTGCTTCTGTGACGAAAGCTCTAGCTGAGAGAAGACTGAGGGAGAGGAAGAAGAGGGAAGACTGCCCCTTGCACCGAGGAAGGCAGGAGCTGCTGTGCTTTTGTAATGCAAATTCAGAGATACTTTCCTGGAGCTATTTGTCCGCCTGAAAGTCAGTTCCAGCCATTCTGTTAATGGTACCAGCTGTTGTTCTGCTCCCTCAAGTCACTCCTGACCTGTGGCGACCCTGTGAATGAAAGTCTTCTAGGTTGTCCTGGCCTTAACAGCCCCACACGGCTTTTTAAAATTCCAGGCTGTTGCTTTGTCAGAAACCAAGACAGGACAGCAGACTAAACTTAGGAGCACCAGGAGCCCGACACTGTGATCCAGAAGAATTAACCCACGTCCGATCCAAACTCCAAGCAGGGAGTAGGGAAGCATGAAGAGCCAGGAAGGAGAGGGTGACTTTGGAGCCAAAGCCGGAGTAGGAGCAGGAACAGCAGCACGGTCCAGGAACAGGAGTGCGCCCAGAGTCCAGCGTTTGCAGCCAAGGGTTCACATAGCAAAGGAAACACCACATCAGAAGAGCTCCATTGCTGAGGCAGCTTCTGGAGGGAAGCCCAGTTCTTATATAGCTCTTCCCTCAGGGCTCCCAGGTGATCCTCGTAAGAGCCCTGAGAGCTGTGGGCCCAATCCGGCAACCACCAGGGCTGTTATTCTGGCCTTTGGCCAAAAGATGGAGCCCCAGAGCTGCCTCAAATCCTGCCAGGCTTCCATGATGGCGTCCATAAAGCAAGACCTTTTCATCTTCTGCCTTCCACTTTCCCTAGCATGATGGTCTTCTCCGGGGAGTCTGGTCTTCTCAGGAAGTGCCCAAAGTACGGCAGCCTCAGCTGTATCTTTTTTGCTCTCAGGGTTGGCTTGATCTAGGACCTACGTGTTTGTCTTTTTGCCAGCCCAGGGTATTTGCCAAGCCAGCACCACAAAGGCGTATACAATTATAAAATGTGCAGAGGGAGTGAATAAATGGGAGCAACACTGTTCTCCACTTCCCATGGTGCTACAGGCAGTGAAGCTGAGTGGTGGGCGATTGGGAAGCGAAGGGAAGGAATGTCCGAAGGGAGAGAAGCAGACGTAAACAGATGCAACAGACTGCAGAACAACGGGATGGATTTATACAAATACTGGCTGCAAGCACAGTCAGATGATGGCATCACCGGCTGCAAAAAGAATGTGGAGGAGGTACAGAAAAGGGCGACCCTGTGACGACATTTGGAGCAAAAATTGGCAAAAATGCTGCCCAGTGCAGCTCACGTTTAAAGCTTGTAAAATGAAGCCTGGAGTGGAAAAAAGGAAGGAGGATACGATTTCCTCTCTTGGTCATAACACTGGAATCGGGGTCACACCACAGAGCTGAATGGCAGCGGAAAGGAGGGCCTGCTCCACATGGCGCTTAGCCCAAGCAGGGAAGACTCCTGCGCAAGATGTCTCCGTGGTGGCCAACCTGGACAGCCTCAGACAGGGATTAGAGGCGGGGAAGGCTCTCCATGGAGACTAGCCTGCCACCACTATCAGAGGCAATATGTCTATGTGCACCAGCTGCTGGGGAGCATGGGTGCAGGGGTGCTGATGCACTCGTGCCCTACTATTGGGCTTCTCACTGGGGCATCTGGTTGGCCACTATGTGGACGGAATGCTGGCTGCGAAGGGCGAGAATTGCAGTCCAACACTCCCGCAGGGCTCCTCCAGGTATTTTTCAAGCAGCGAAAGGTTTCCGCCGCAGCTGCAAGGTTTGAAATGACAGTTGCGCACTGCAGAGTGCCCCAGTGACGGCCAGATTCAGGCTGTGCACCAGGAAAAGCTTCCTCGCCGTCAGAGCAATACAAGAGTGAAAGCAGCTGCCTGCAGAGGTGGGGGGCTCTCCCACACTGGAGATATTCGCGGTGAAACTGGGCCGCCATCTGACTGGGATGGTGTAACACGGAGTCCTGCAACAGCAGGGGGGTGGACTAGATGGCCCCTTCCAGCTCTACTATTCCATGATTCTAGTGCTCATGTGCAGGAATGCAGGCACATGCACACTAGAGACAAGAGACACACATGCCCCAAATATAAAACTAGGAAAGAGGGTGAGGGCTAAGCACTGCCAAACAACCTGTCTTGCAAGTGCCCTTAAGAAAGCATCCACCCTGAAAGCAAATCCTGGGAGCAGGGGGAGAAGAGACCATGTCCCAGCTGAGTCCGGATGTTTGCACCTCTGCAGTAATCGCTTCCACGATGGACAGGCGGGCAGGAGAAAGGTGAGCCAAGGGCATGTTTCCCCCATTTTTCTCACCCACTCATTACTGGGTCTTTTGCCAGGGGCTTCGGGTCTCACAAGCGACCTTCTCTGCTTGGTGATGGCATCTCACAAAGAACTAGAACGCTCCATCGCTGTCCGTCAAACAGAGCAGGCCTTTGTTCAGCAAGTCACTGATGAATTAAATTCCTGTCTCCATGAGTCATTTATTTATAGGGGGTGGGAGCATTTGTGATATCTTCTCTATCTCTCCTCTGGGTCTTCAATCACCCACTGGCAGTTGCCTCGTGGCACCCCCCCAGGCCAGCAACATGTTGCCATGGCAAGGGGATGATGTCACCTTGCAAAGACCAGGTGGTGAGACCCCCAAGTTCATTTTGGCACAAAGCAAGCGGCGTTCAAGCCGCGAGAGTTAATTAGGTGGTGTGGGAGGAGAAGCCAGACCAGGCAGAAATGCATAGCGTCTCCCTGGTGTGCCGGTCATACCAAGCAGCAGATATTCGGGTAATTGTGGCGGCTGGAACAGTGGCTTCCAGACACGGGGAAAAGGTAGAGAAAAGAAGAGACAGGCTGCAGGGAGGGAATCGGGCTTTTAACCCATGGTGGAGCCACTTTTTAACCTTGGCTGAACTTGAAGAGAGGCATAGCAGACAGAAAAGCCCAGCTGCCTGGGTCGAATGCTTTAGTGAGCAGCTCCTTTTCTCCAGAAAACCCTGGTATCCAGAGGATCTTCCCTTTAGGACAAGGGAAACAGCAGACTTTTCTGGGACAAGGGAAAAAGCAGGCCTTGCTCCAATGGCTTCTGCTTGGCAGGACAGGCCGGTGACCCCCCAGTCAGTGGGGCTCCTTAACCACTGCAGCTTTTAGTCTGAGCTTTCTAGACACTATCCATGGGTGGGGGGTGGGGGGGATGCAGTTCAACACCATGGATAGCTCCCTGGAAGCTCAGACTAAAAGCTGCAATGGATAAGGAGTCCCACCAATGTAGGGGGACGAGGACTTGGGGACTGGATGGCCTCAGGGGCCGGATTGCTCCATCCCAGCCAAAGGGGTGGGCAGGATGCAGTCAGGGGAGCAGGGCCTGCCCCGTGATGCCAACCAGGCCCCACCCGGTCCGCTTTTCTTTTTCCAGGTAGGAGGAAGAGCCAAGAAAGGGCAGGGGCGCCTTTTGGGGATGCCCTTTCCTGCTTCTGCACTGCTGGGGACCCAAGTGTGCTCAAGCCATGCACCAGCTTGGGCATCCCAGGGGCCTCTTCAACTGATGGTTGCAGATAATAACACTGGTGAACGACTGGCCCCACCTTGAGAAGTTAGCACAAGGAGGCACAGCCCTAAGCGGCTCAGGACCCTGGTGCCTGGATCACTTTCCACTGTGCCAGTGGAACAAGGATTTAAGATCAGACCGGGGGCTTGCTTGTGGGGGTCCCCGGGGAACACGGTCCATGGGACCACCGCAAGTTGGAGGCTTGCAGAGGCAACCTGGCAAAGGAACTCCCTTTGGGTAGACATTTGTTTGCCTTCTGTTTGTGCCACCTTCTAGCATGTAGGCAGTGCTCTGTTTGTTTTTTTGTGGCTCATGCTGCCAGTTTTATTGCATTTTATTCCAAGTTGTGATTTGATGATCTACTTCAGATTGGCATGTCATTAAGGTGTTGTTTTCTGTTTAGCGTGGCTTATTACCTTTCCTGGGTCATTGCCTTGTGAGGTTGGTCACTTTTGGCCTAGCTTAAGGATTGCTGTGAGGATAAAAAGGAAAGAAGGAAGAGAAGTAATTAATAAATACAAAATGTGTGTTGAGCATTGTACTCTTTTGTTTTCTCTGGACCCATAAGAACAAAAGATTTCATTTCATTTGTTACATTTCCCAAAGACAAAGCTCTCTGGGCAGTTCACAGCAATAAAACAAAGCATATTAATACGGCAACTAGAAAAGGTACATAATTACAATGAGATATTGCAATAATTATATTATTGTTGTTATAATTGTTATAAATATATTATAAACAGTTCATTTCACAAATAATTCATTTCACAAATACTAGCATTATAGCATTCCAAATTAGTTACAGAATAGGCAAAATAATTATACAGTAACCATTATTATTTTATCATTAATATGCAAGCCAGAGTAATTTGTAAGAAATGAGCAAGATATTAAAAGTGAAATTTTAGAAACATAGACACAGAGCGAGTCAGAAGGGGCCTCCCGGGCCATCTAGTCTGACCCTGGCCCCAGCCAGCTCTGCTCATGACATGCCCACCATGTGCACGTCCAGCCTGTCCTTGAACACCCGCACCGATGGGGCCTCAACCACCTCTCGTGGAAGCCCATTCCACACCCTCGGGGTCCTGACTGTCAGGAAGGGCTTCCTGGCATCCAAATGGAGCCTGGGTTCCCTGAGCTTTGCTCCGTTGGAGTGCGTCCTGCCTTCCTCTGCAGGGGAGAACAGGTCTCTACCCACCTCCGTGTGACACTCCCTCACATACCTGTATGTCGCCAACAGGTCCCCTCTGAGTCTCCTCTTCTCCAGGCTGAAGAGACCCAGTTCCCTCAGTCTCGCCTCATTCCCCGTCCCCTGCAAACCAGCCACCAACCTTGTGGCCCTCGCTGCACTGACTCCAACCTGGCTATATCCTTTCTGTAATGAGGGGCCCAAAACTGAGCACAATACTCCAGTTGCGGGCGCACCAGAGTCGTATAGAGTGGTAGTAATATCTCTCTTGATCTAGAAGCCACACTTCTGGCTATGCAACCAAGGGTGGCGTTCGCCCTCTTGGCCACCGCATCACACGGCTGACGCATGTTCAGCCTGCAGTCGACCAGCACCCCGAGGTCCCTTTCACGAGTGCTGCTTTCCAGCCACTTGTCCCCTCACCTGTACTCATGACACCCATTCCTGTGCCCCAAGGGCGAGGCCTTGCACTTCTCCACACGGAACACCCTCCTGTTGGTTTTATGCAAGGTGAGGCAGCAGCAGGCTGGCAGCGGTGGGGCTGTTCATGTCTGCCTTTGCACAGCATTGCGTCTGAACTATGTTGGTCGTCTTCACATTGCAAAAACAAGAACAAGCTTTTCCGCCAGCCCTTCATTTTTATCGATTCTGAAAGACACGAAATTTTAGACGCGGCTCTGCAGAGACCCGGGACCAGGGCAGAGAAACATCCTTGCGTGGCGGGGAGGAGGCTCCGCGAAGGAACGGCCGCGAGCAGCACCGGCCGCAGCACCCGCTCCCGCGGGCCGAGGGGCGGAACTGCCAGGCGCGGAACGGCCGCGACGCGGCGGCCGCTCCCCGACCGAGCGCTCGTAAGCCGCGCACCGGGACCTCCCGCTCTTCCTGCCGCGCCTGCGCAGTCCCTTCCGCCGCCGGCGCGTAGCAGCGAGGGGTGCCCGCCGACCATCCCGTCCGGACTCTCCCCTTCCCTTTCCTGCCGGGGGCCGCGACATGGCGACGGACTCCTGGGCGCTGGCGGTGGACGAGCAGGAGGCGGCCGCGGAGTCGGTGAGGGGCGGAGGCACCGGCTAAGTCCGCGGGGTGCTTTTTATATTGCGGTTATTGCTGTATTATATACCCTTGCACAGCTAGGGGTAGATAGCGAATGTCCCCTCCTTCCTCCCTGGCGCTTCAGGGCGAGCACAGCTTTCCCCGTTTGGCTTCGTAACACCCCTGTGAGGTAGGCCAGGCGCCTGCTTTGCTCCTTGGGCGCGTGGGAACATGGACCTGGGTTTCTCCAGGCCCAGGCCCGACCCTCTGTAACCGCTGCGCCACGGAGGGTTTTGCATCCGGTGGGGGAGCCTGGGGGGATCCTTGGCTTCGCATTCCCCCATCCCTGGTTTGTTCAGCTCTGTGCCTTTTCCTATTTTACTTCTTTCGGAAGAGTGCAAGCCCCCCGCAGTGCCATTCTTCCCCTTTCCATTTTGTCTTCACAGCAGTCTTGTCGGGTAGGTTAGACTGAGGTGAGATTACTGCCTTCCTAATGTCAGCTCTATGCTTTGTCCATCACACAGTAGAATTACTCGTGTGGGAGCAGGAGAGGAAAAACTTTTTTCTGAGACTTGTAGAAGGAAAGAGGCTGTGGGCCGACATCCCTAAATTAAAGGATGTTTGGATTAATTGCTCTCCATTGGAATGAAAGTGGTGCTCATTTTTTATATTTGTAGGATTGGGCAAAGTTTGGGGTAGTTTGCCTTAAAGTACAGATGATTGCCATCAATATTATTAACAATATTGTTAGTGTCTTTTGGAGAAGTGCAGGGAAAAAGCATTTTCCTTGCAGGGGAAGAAAGACTGGACATGTGGGAGAAGAGCTGCTGGAGAGAATGAGAGTTTAGGCCAGGTGTTTGCTATAAGTTTATACTATACTGGTAGCTTTGTCTCAGATGTATAGTAAAAAAAAAAATGGAAAACTTTCTAGATTTTTTTGAAAACCTACATTATTGGGGGAAGCTGAAGAAGAGAAGGAACTCCACCACAGGAATGAGATAGAGTGAAAAGACTCCCAGAATGCATTATGAAGATTACTTCGCCAAGAATAGCCTTTCTCAGTTCTTCTTCATGGGCACCTGGCTTGAATCGTTACAGCTGTTTCTTGAAGGAATGCATATATTATTGCTCTAACCTGCCTAGGGAGCCATATGGCTAATGGAACAGGTTAGAAATTTAACAAATAAATAAAGTGAGTTCTGGCATGGTGCAGTCCTACTCTGAAGTAAGTCCTGTTTAGATCAGTGGGGCTTAACCCCCGGTACATTGCCACAAGTTTGCAGACTCTTCCTTCCCCTCTTTTCCCCATTGTTTATTTTAGCTCCTGCAGTTAGAGAGTTGCTGATACAGTTTACCTAACTCAGTTGCTGTTGGTACTGATAGTGGTGAATGAGGTGTAGATTGTAGGTGTAGATTTGCTGGGCATGCAGACCATCTTAGGTTTGAAATCCTCCATATTTCGGGGAGGGCTTGGTTAGATTCCTGCATGAAACCCTTGAGGACACTTGCCAATTATTGTAGACTAGACTGGCAGAGGGTTTGATTAAGTATGCAGCAGCTTCTTATGTTCCTTCAAGAACTTAATCCTGTACCTAATGAGTACAAGGATCCTGGAAGGTGGATGTGTTGTACTCTGCATATTAAAGAGAGTGGAGAATAACAGAGGATGGTCACTCACACGCAGTGCATTCATGGCAGAGCCAGCCAATGAAAAACTCAGCTTGTTGGTTCCTGTGCTACAGCAGCTCTCAGTCGCATTTGTGCTGACCTGTGTGTGCAAATATAGTTGAAGTTCAAGGCAATCAAGAAAGATCCCACTTTTTTAAAAAGCGGGTGCACCTCTTTTTACTACCTCTGTTTAAATATCCTATTCTACTTTTTCCTTGTCAACACAGGAAACAATATTATTTAAACAATACAGGATAAGACGGAGAGCAGGAGGGGGGAATGATGTAAGCCGCTTTGAGTTCTTTGTAAGAAAAAAGGCAGCGTATTATTGTTTGTTATTTCTATCCTGCCCTTTTTCTTACAAGAACTCAAAGCAGCTTCGGTAATTCTCTTCCTCCTGTTCCCAGTCTTATCCTCACAACAACAACAACAACTCTGTGAGGCAGGCTGGGCCGAGAGTCCGTGGCTCCATGGCTGAATGGGGACTACAGCCCAGATCACCTGAGTTCCAGTCCTGTGCACTTAACCGCTGCATGCTGCACTGGCTCTGGGATATAAATCTAATAAATAATACTGCAGAGCTCATGGTAGAATACATGGGCCTTTCTCCCGCACCTTATGCTTAACAACAACCCTCTAAGGTAGGTTAGGTTGAGATGTAATGAACTGGTCCAGGGTTGCCAAGGGGACACCAATGCCCAAGTATGGTCTTCCTAAATCTAGTCTGACATTGTAGCCGCCACCTCCATTCAGATATAGCCAACTAGAGAGTATTCCCTTTAGACATTTAATATTGCAATAGTCTATAGAAAAGATCCCCGATAAAAGAATGTGCTTAATTGCATTCCTATGCAAGGCGGCTCAGATGTTGTCCCCATTGACTTCAGGGAAGCATGCCTGGGATTGCAACCTAAACCTCGCTTCTGCTCTCTCAGGAATATCATCAGGATTTTAATTGGGAGCACATATTGTAGCTTGCATTTTTTAATTGTTCCTCTCCAAGTCAGATGTGAAGGCAATGTATGAAAGTCAGTGTTGTGCAGTATTAGGGAGCTTGAACTGGGAGCAAGAGAGGCTGCTGTGTAATGGAGGAGACATAGCATCTTGGGCCACGCTGAGAGAGGGTAGATCCGCATTCTTCCCTTGAGGTGGTGTTCTCTGGAGCCTGGGAAGGGAACGCTTCCTGACTTTGCTTTGGGAGAGGGCATGGAAGCATCTCATTGAAGTGACTTGGCCCAATCCCCTCCCCTTTGACTTGGGAGTGGGAGGCAGGCAAGAAGGTCTTTGAGAGAAGGTCAAGCCCATGAAAGAAAGAACAAAGGAACTAAGAGGTTTGCATACTGGGGGCCCTGGGACATGACTAAGATCCTCCTCTGAGCAGAGCAGAGAGCGGTTCCCATGCCTGCTGAAAAGAGCGTGGCATTCTGCTGGGCACTTGGGGATCTGTTGAGAACGATGTTGGCACCCCAAGGGGTGCGACGCTCCCTTCGAGCAGCTCAGGTGCTTAGTCAGTTCAGCTCAAGCTGGCCTACACTGACGGGCAGTGTCTCTTTCTGGGGCTCTGAACTGGAGTTTTCTCCTAGTTGTATCTGGAGATTTTGAGGACTGAATCTGTCGCCTTCTGCATGTGAAGCAGGGACTTGGCCTCTGTGCTTGGCACGGCAGACTGTGTTGCGTGCAGGTAGGAAACCTGCCAAATGTGTTGCACTGTGCCTGCCAGCAGCCAGCGTGGCCTAGGCTGAGGGATTTTACGGAGGCAGCCCAAAAATATCTGGAGTGCATCAGGATGCACAAAATCGGGACCGGAATCGCCTCTCGTAAGGATTGTTTTACAGCCGGGTATTAGCTTGTCAGAATTTGGCTGTTCTGCTTTAACTTTGCTTTTGATGAGCTGCAACAGCTCTCATGAGAGCATCTAGCAAAGATAAATTCATGGAAACACATTTCCACAAATATCTTCAAGCGAGGTCTCCAGTTTGGATGCTTTGCCCCCAGCCCTCATATTAATGGGGTGCCCCCCCCATTCTCAAATTGTTGACTTTCTGGGGGATTTCCAGGCCCCAAAGTGTATTTTCCCCACTACCTGCTTGGTCCCTGGTAACGTATGACCCAAAGGCTCAGAGTATGGTCTGAAGGCACATGAGGCATCACGTGCTTGAAGCTAAGCAGGTCTGGGGCAAACCTGAAGTTGGACTGGAGACCCCTTGGGAGCTTCACCTTGAATTCCACAATGAGAGAAAGCTGGGATATAAGCACAGAGGGTGCCAGAAAATCTATTCACATTTTAAGAAAGGAAGAAACTGTATTAAAAACTGTCTCATGGTGATGCTAGCATGCATTTGATTAATGCCATCTTTTGAGCGAACGTCTCCTACACTAGAGACATTCAAAGAGAAACTGGGCAGCCACCTGAGTGGGATGGTGTGACTTTGTGTCTTGCAACAGCAGGGGGTTGGCCTTAGGGCCTTCCTGGCCCCTTCCAGCTCTACTATTCCATGTTTCTGTGACATTGCTACCATAATTCAGTTCAACTTCAAAAAGTAATACCTAGATAACATCTCTTAAAATATGTTATTTTACAAAAATGTGTTTTTGGCATCTCCTGTATAATAAATAACAAAGCTGTGACTAATTTTCACATTTCCTTTTGAGAAGCACTATGGTAACTGTGGAGTACTGATTGGGGAAAATACAATCAGATTGCTAGCAATCTGCGTAATCCTTTGTTGTGCAAAGCTCTTAATCATTTATTTATGTTTTCACTGTTAACTTTGCATAATTATTCCATCACAAGCTGGACTTTCAAATAGCACTGTCATCTTGTGTGAGCTGTAAAGTAGCTTATTTCCCTTTCTCTCTGCCAATTCCATGTTCCCTTTTCTTGTATAGCTGTTATACTACTGAGGTTTGTGAAGTGGTTCCGGTCGTAACATTCTAGGAAACCGGGGAAAGCTGGAATATTGAGTTGAATCTTGCCTCTGTCAGAGACTCGCCTGGTGGTCTTTGGCAAATCACTAGCTGTGATCTTATATATGAGTAGCCGAGAATTGCAGCATCCTGGCTTCTCTGCTGCTCCCAACAGTGGGAAGCAGCTCAAGAAACCGGAACACAAAAGCTTAATGTATCATCCCAGCAGCAGCTTCTGGCTCCTAAACGGGATTCCTGGACCAAGGACAATCCCCAGTTTGTGATCCTGGATTGTAGGGCACAGCAAGCCAGCCTGCACACATTTGCACAATCTCTCCTTTTCCCAAAGTGTCTGGTTTCAGGGTAGATCAGCTACTCCTGCTGGAGGGGAGAGCCAAGCAACAGCACTCAGTACCTCCCTTTTAAAACAGGATTTTTTTATAACTCGTGTTTACCCTTGTGTGTGTATTTCTTGCACCCCATCGCTACCATCCCGAGATCTCGGTAGTGGGTGGTATATAAAAGTTTTAAATAAATAATCTGCAAAGCAGGAGGTAATAATACTGGCTTACCTGATGGTGCTGTTGCAGATCAATTACTTGACAATGCTTTCAATGCTTGAGAGTGCAGAAATAAATAATAATGAGGAGGAGGAAGAGGTAGAGGTAGTTTTGCATATGTTTAGATTTGATGAATCCTTGAGGCAATGTTCTTATGTAATGCCTGGTGCTGGTTATGATATATTCATTGTCAGCCATGCCTCTGGATGTTCTTTTTCTGATCCTGCAGTTTTTCTTGTTGAATAATGGGTTTCTAAAGATTCATTTAGCATTTAAGTTTTGGTAAAAGTATTTATTTATTTACATACATATATTTATAGGCCGCCTATAATTGCCGAGGCCTTCCTAGGCGGCTTACAATGCAAAATGATGCGTGAGTCGCGTCTCTTATCGGGTTAGAAACACGTGCATTTGGATAACTGCTTCCCCTCAATCTAAGGTTGTTCCCCACCTAGGGCCTTTCTGATTCATCCGCACATTGATATTAGATTCCCAAAGGCAGTGATGGAACCAAGAACTCGAATGCTTTTCTTCCATTTGTTTGGGCAAAGTGTCCCGAACGCCAGTGCTGCCAGTCCGCCCTTTAGCCCAGCAGCAGGGAACCTGCCCAGGTTCTGCCGCAGCAGCGCTTCTGGCCTCGGCTGGACCGAAAGCCCAAATCCTGAGCTCTGAGCTCGCGCATGCAAGGTCACATTGGCCAGTGCACTCCAGAGACCAAAGCATTGTTTCTTCTGAGACTGGGAGCACGCCGACAGCCGTTCTCCCCTCCTCCTCTCCGCAGCTCTTACAGTGCTGCCAAGAATACACACATACATCAGAAGATGTGAAAAACACGACGTGCTTTTAAAATGCATTGGGAAGGTCAGTGAACCCCACAACAAAGTAGTCTGGTCTGTCTTCGCAATGCCTGTCTCTGTGTAGGTAGGCCAGGCCAGGCCATCCTGACCAGGTGCCCTCAAGGGGTGTTGGACTACAGTTCCCAGCACGCTGGCTGGCTGGGCCATGTGGGAGTTGTCCTCTAACCCGTCTGGAGAGCGCCTCCTTGCAGAAGGCCCCGTCAACAGAAGTAATGCACTGCAGCTCTCAGCCCTGCGATCTCGCTCCTTCCCCGCCCTTCCCCCTCGGAGAGCCAGTGGTTAAGAGCACGGGACTGGGACTTGGGAGACCCGGATTCTAGTCACCACTGAGCCGTGGAGTCCACTGGGTGGGTGACTCTGGGCCAGTCTCAGGCTCTCAGCCCAACCTACCTCACAGGGTGGTTGTTGTGAGGATAAGATTAGGAGGATAAGGTGAGTTCTGTAAGCTGCTTTGAGTTCCTTGAAAGGAACAAGGTGGGATATAAATATAATAAATTCTTTCATTTTGATCTGGGGAGCAGATCTTCAGAGATTCTCCGAAGAATGTGATAGTCAGCTAAAGCATCTCCTGTGCACCCCAATGTGCATTGCTGGCTGCGCACTCGGGGTGGGCAGCCCATCGCCCTCCTTCTGATTCCAGAATTCCTTTGAATGACAGGAGTCCAAGGCTCTGGCAAGAGTGACCTGTCTTGTCTTCGGCAGCACACGTAGCAAGAAGAAAGAGGGAGGGAAAGAAAAGGCGGCAGCAGAAACAGGAGAGGGCTGGCTGAAACACTTTGGGCTCTGGCTCGGCTGCTGCTGGCCTGTGGGCGCTGATAGATTTGCAGTCCTCGATAGAGAAAAAAGGGGTTTGCTCATTCCTGCAGGAGGCAAACCACCAAGATGTCTCCCTACAACTGGTGCCTCTTACTCTAAGGGTACACAACCCTATGTGCATGCTCTGATCCTTGCTGGAGGGCCTTCTTCATATCGTGCTCCCCCTCAAGTGTGGCAGGTGGAGGCATAAATCCAGGACATCTCGGTGGAGGTGCACCATCCCTGGAAGGAGGAACAGCACAGGAACAAAGGTGTGAATCATTCAGAGCATCCTACCTGTGCTGACTCTGTCTTCAGATTCCAGTTCAGCAGTTGTCTGGCTCCTGCTTTTTTTGAGGGTGCTGATTAGAGTTCTATTTGTAATTCATTTGTTAAGATTTGTAGCCACCCGTGGGTCTCTAAAGATGGGCAAGCCAGGTTAAAAACATTTTCAATTGAATTATGATAGATTTGAAATGCTTAATCACTGAACAGTCACTTACTTGTTCATGCATGTAAAATGCGTAATAAAGAACATTTAATAACTGCGACATTTTGGATAATGGTGTCCTCCCCTTCTGTTTTCATTTTAGCTGAGCAATTTGCACCTGAAGGATGAGAAACTCAAGCCAGACGCCAACGGTGAGTGTAGCCTTCGTTTTGCAGGTAGATGCAGCTTGGGGTCCTGTGGCTGCTGCTTCCTGAGCTCTTCCCCGTTTTCTGTTCTCGTGACTTGGCAGCCACAGCAGAAGGCGGCGCTGCTGAGACTGCCTCCTTCACAGCCTCCCAAGTACAAGGCAGGACTCCTACGCGGTACAAGGAGAGCCACACAGCGGGCTTAGAAATGTGCGATGAGCTTTTGTGGCCCACGGCCTACTTTGGCGGCTGCATGGCGCCATGTTCGAAGGTGGCTCTTGTGCACAGAGGGGTTGTGGAGAGAAGTAGTCATTTGGGGGCCGAAAGGCCGTGAAACAGGGCCACTGCAACGCAGCTGCTGAACGCAAAGGTTCCTTGGGTGGGTGATCCAGCCCTAACTAGCAGCCATGACAGTCGAATGGTTGCAGCAAGACAGAGAGGTGGAACGCCTGAAAGGGGACCTCCGTTTTGTAACAAGACAAATGCCCCCTGCCCTAGTTGAGCCCTGCACTGTCAGATGGACTGTGGCTGAGCTGCTTCCGCCTCACTTAAAGGAGGGTGGCTTTCCGGCCAGCCATGATGTGTCCTGGGACGGTGTGGTTATTCCTCTTTGGTCACCGAATTCTCATTCGAATAAGTGGTTGAGTGAGAGCCGCGTGAATACCCAGGCTGGTACCGTGGGATGGCTGGACTCCTTGCCTGGGTGGCTTCCGTGCACAGTGTCCAGTGCTCAGCACAAGCAGCTTGCTGCTACCCCAGAGCAAAGTGACGTTTCTCAGGAAGGCAATGCTTCTCAGTCACTTTGACTGCGCAGTGACGACTGTTTTGCCCACACTTAGGAGCTGTTGTCAAGACAGATGACAATGCAGAGAAGACCGAGGAGGAAGAGAAAGGTAAGTCCCTTGAGTTCTGGAGAAGGGAAGGGAAATAGGGGAGCGGGGCGGGGGCTTAATGCCTTGCAGAGTCTCCAGCACGATCCCCTTTCTCGGGGGCACTTTCTGGCTGTCCATCAGCCCTCGTCGCCACAGCCAGCGGTTAGGCTCAAAGGAGACCCGCTGGGTCAGGCAAGGCCCACCTGGTCCGTTATCCTGTCAGCACAGCAGTCAAACCGCTATCCCTGGGAAACCTGCGGGTTGGACACGAGTGCAACAGCACCCTCCCACCCGTGTTCCCCAGTGGCTGTGGAAGCGAGGGCCATAGTTGAACTGGGCGCTAGGTGAAGATGCGTGAACCGAAACATGGGGTGGGAGGCCCCCTCGAGCTGAAGGAGCTGTGCTGGCGAGGTGTCCAGTTCCACCCACAGCATCTCCTGTTAAAAGACAGGTTGGGTAGCAGATGTTGGGGCACAGCCCTGCCCAACACCCCAGACACCTTCACCTGGCCTTGGGCTGGACTTTGGGTCTCAGCCCACAGCCCAAACTGCAGTTCAGGGCAGCTCTCGGGCCGCCTCTGGGTGGGAAGGGCAAAGGTGCAAGGCTCCATGCACCAGCGGAAGGCCGAGCTTCAGGCTCTCACTGCTGGTAACTAAGGTCTGGCAGAGGCAGTTTGACCTGCCAGAGGAAAAAAACCTGTATGGAATCCAGGGACTCTGCTGTCTGGCCTGGGCAGATGTGGCGGAATAGAAATGACGAGGCTTGGTAGGAAAGTGCTGGGCTGGGGCAGCCTCTGAGCCCAGAAATGCACTGTCCGCACTGCTCCCTGGATCTCCTATGCATTGTTCTCATGGTTAGCGAAAGGCACTTGGTATATGCTCGGGAGCTCAGTTTTCTATTCTGAGCCTCAGTGGTAGAAGAGCTGGGACTTTGCTGAGGCGAGCTCTGGCTTGAATCAATCACTTCTGCCTTGCTCTCCCTGCTTTTGAATGATCTGTCTGCCCCCTTTCTGAGACGCTTAACTCCAGTGGACAAAGGCTTCCCCCTCAGACACTCACTCGGTCCTTGATGCTTGATCCAGCAACCCTGTGCAATAGTTCTGGGCTGCTTTCTCAGGGAATTCTCCAGCCTCTTACTTCCCACTGAAGTTCGGATGTGCTTGCATTCTGTATACTTAGGGCACTAATTGGATTTCTGTTGTTCATTTTTCTTGGTAGCATATCTAAATTGCCTCTCTGCTAACAGCACCCACAGGCAATGAATAATAAAAACTTTGGAACAGTTCAGCAATTTCAGATGGCAGGATATTAAAACAATCAGTGCAAATGAGCACAGCTGCAAAATTAAACCTGGAAAAAGTCTTCTAACCCTTGCAAAGTTTTCCACCCCAATGGTGTGAAAATGCATCATGGGAAGATGCCATGAGAAGACTGAGGGGGGACATGATATCCCTCTATAAGTACCTCAAAGGCTGTCACCAAGAGGAAGGTCAAGGTCTCTTCTTGTTAATGCCAGAATGTAAAACACGGAATAATCGATTCAAGTTGCAGCAACCCAGATTCAGGCTGGACGTCAGGAAAAGCTTCCTCACTGTCAGAGCAGCACAACAGTGGGACCAGCTGCCTGGAGAGGTGCGGGGCGCTCCCACACTGGAGATATTCAGAAAGAACCTGGACAGCCACCTGAGTGGGACGGTGTGACTTGCTGTCCTGCAGCGGCAGAGGGTGGACTCAGTGGCCTTCTGGCCCTTCCAACTCTTCTGTTCTATTCTGCGATCCCAAGTCCTGGCAGCCTGCCCTGCGGAGGCTTTTCAACCAACTCTAAACAGGCTGGGCTTCACGTCTGTGCAGGGGCAGTTTTGCAAGATGTCCAGAACCTTCCGCTAGTGCAAAGTGCAGCAGCACGACTTTGGCCGATAGCCCAGTCACCCAGGTGCTGATACTGTGCCGCCTCTGTATTTGTTTCCAAGCCCAGTTCAAAGGGCTGGTCTTGACCCTCGGAGGCCTTCCTGGTTGGCGACCATTTAGAGGTCTGAAGCACCACTGCATCCCATTGAAGCGGCTGCCTGGCTTCGGTCTTTCGAAGAGGGCGTGGCATACACCCCATCCCTATTTGGGGTGCAGCTGGTAGATGCATGGGAGAGGGCAGCCTCCCCCAGTCTGGTTCCCCCAGGGTGTTTCTGGCTACAATCCCCATCTTCTTGGACCAGCATCCATACTGGCTGAGAACGATGGGAGTTGCGGTTGAACATATTTGGAAAGTGCCAAGCTAGGAAGTGCTGCCTTTAAATGTCTGTTAAAAAGAATATTATTCAAAAACTGATTTCAGTTTTCAAGGGCTGCTTTGGAAAACTGGCTATGACTTGGGCTGTTTGTTTCTTGGCTTCAGTTTTCCCTGAGTTTTTTATAACGATTGGTACACAACTGAATAGGTTTTTGATGGCTTTTAACGAGTGATAATCCCTGGCTTAGACTTACTTGCATATATTAAACTTTGTATTCCTCACCCCCCACCAATGCTCTTCTGTTTTCTTTTTCTGCGTTCACTTCCTGGCAGAGGATAGAGCAGCCCAGTCCTTGCTAAACAAGCTGATCCGCAGTAACCTGGTAGATAACACAAACCAAGTGGAAGTTCTGCAGAGGGATCCGACGTCACCCCTCTACTCTGTGAAGTCTTTCGAGGAGCTCCGGCTGTAAGTGCCACTCGTGGCCTCACTTTAGTGGCTTGTTGCTCTGCTGGGACTTTTCAGTGGGGGCCCCTGCGCACCTTTCCTGCACCAGCTGTAGGGGAGGAGGAGCCTCACTGCCGTGCCACAGCAAGCCGGCGCGGGAGGGTGATTTAATGTACTGTGCCGGTGGTGGGGGGCGGGGGAGCTGAAGGGAGGCAGAATGAGGTGGACAGATCTTGAACCTCCTTATTTTAGACCACTGGGGCACAGGGATCTGTTTGGTCTTAAAGGTTATCCTTCCTTGTGGCTACGCTTGTGTCACGTCTCCCCGCACTTTGCCTCCTGGGTGACCCTGGCCATTTTGTATGTCAGCCTGCTTTGCTTCATCCGGTGGTTGCCAGGATCAAAAGAGGGAGTGTGCAGCACTCAAGGCCTTTGCGGAAAGGACAGGAGAAAAGCGTTCGGGATGATTAAAACAAAACAGAGCGCTGTTTGACCGGGTGAGCACCTGCAGCTTTCCATCGTCCCGTCTGCTCCAGGTTCCTTACAGGCGAGTCACAGCACAGATCAGCCTCTCCCCACGAGGCCAGCCTCGGTGCGGATTGACTCCAAGCATCCCACCGCGTTCGGCTTGCATTAATTTGCGGCCTCTGGTCCGTGTGAGGATTGCCGTTGTGCCGCGGGAAAGCAGCTTAATTCGAGACCGCTGGGAGGCCAAGCCGCCTGTTCCTGGAGGAGGCCGTCTGTTCTCCTTGTAGAGCAGGACAACTTGGAAAATGGCTTAACTGGGCAGCCACCTGAGTGGGATAGTGTAAACTGGTGTCCTGCAGCAGCAGGGGGTGGACCTGACCACCTGCAGGGCCCCTTGCAGCTCTACTACCCTGTGATTCTCCCAGAGATGACGGGTGGAGTGCGCTTTGTATCCATTCCAGCAGAACTCTTTTGGCGCACAGGAGCGAATTTTAGCTCGGGTGGAAAGCCTGGGAAAAGGTCAGGCGTAGAACTTGCAGTTTGTTCAGCCTCCTCTGCCAAGCTGTTTTAGATCTGCTTCGACCTGGCGGGTAGCATCCTGGAACATCCTGGATCGGATTTTCCGATTGCAGTTCCAGTCTGCTTGCCCTGCCTTTGTGAGCCTTGCCTTCACATTCGTGCTCGTTTTGGTGCAGAATTTCCTGTCCTAAGCCAACCACCCTGGCTCCTCTTTCCTCTTTCAGTACCTCTTGACAGAAGAGAATGCCCCCCCTTCCTTCTCCGAATTCCCACTGCGATGCGAATGTCCTGATTCAGTCCATCTCCTGGAGCGCTGTCTCTCCTGCCATCAAACCCAGCATACGATTTTCTTCTATGTTGCCTGCAGCGGAAAATCCATTTGCCAGCAGTGCCAAGCACTTTGTGTGTGGCTCATCACCCCGTTTGGCCCGAGGGCCTCTTTGCCCGGGAGCGCACCCTTAATTGCTTTCAGCATCCCCGCCCTGCCAGAGGCTCTGGCGAGTGGTCTGGCCGGACCTGCTCCTTGCCGCTGATCAGTTTCACTCAGGGGCCCCGTCCTGTCAGTGCGAAACCTGTTTTAGAATTGTCTGTGCCCTCTTGTTCTGAGAGCAAAGAACAGTGGGGAGAATCCAAGACAGCCAATTAAAGGTGATGCTTGCATGAATTGTGTCTCTGGTCCCTGCACAGGCTCCATGTCTCCTTGGCAACTGCCTTGAACAAGCAGGCTGTGGTCAATCTTCTTCCTACTCAGGAACTGACACCTTGTTTTTCCCCCCCAAGAGATTTTTCTGTGCTCCAGACTTGCTGTGATAAGTCCCAGGGCTCCCCCTTTTACGTGCAGGCCTTCTGCGATCCTTTGTGGGGGGGGGGTGTTGGGGGAGGGAAGTGGTTGAGGGCAAAAGGGGCACTAAATAGGGGCACTGAACCTACCCTGTCGGCTTTCTTCCTTGGCATAGACGGAAGGCACTCCACACTGGGGGCACTGCCCATCTGACGCCGTACTGCTTCCTCTAAGGGCCAGATTCCCTTTCCAGTATTGCCATGTTCAGTGGTGGTCAGTTTAAAACACTTGCTGCTGGTAGCATTTCAGCCTTTTAGGATGGGGAAAATGGCAGCCAGCATGGCAGCATACGGCGCGGTGGCCGGTGGTCAAAGGAATGGCTTGGCCCATTCAGCACCCCGGCTTGTTCTGACTGGCACTGCTCTCCGGAGCCCTGGCAGAAGGTCTGTCTCAACACCGGTGACCCGCCTGCTTTAACTGGCAGTGCCTGAGCTTGAACTGGAGACCATTTTGCACGCAGAGAGCAAAATGCCCGTCAGCCATCGTTCCTCTGGAGTGCAGTGGCTGTGGATGCCCCCCCCCCCTTGTGACCACTTGCAAGCTAGGGCTGGCTTCTGAAATGAACAGGAGCCATCCCATTTTAAAGGCGGCTTTCCTGCGTGAAGAAGGGAAAAACCTGGAATCTGGATCTGGAAGCACATGCCTCAAGAACCCATCCTTCCTTACCAGTCAGTCAGTCAATTACTAATTTGCCATTTGGTATAAATGTACTGAACTACAGAAGCAACACAGCCAAACTTTACAGACCCCCTGGAGACTAGATAAGCCACTTGGAGCCCTCAAAAGGAAGCGGACGTGGCTGAGGTGGTTTTGCCCCGGTGGTTTAGAACAGGGGAATCACGAAACGGTGATTTGAAGCCACGACAACAGGCACGTGCCAACCTGTGCTCTTCCTTTTGAGGAGCTCAGAAGCTCATGGATATTCTGGGATGGCGGAGAGACGCAGCCCCAGGTGGTCCCCAGGAGGGAAGCGGTCTCCCAGCTGGAAGCCAAGGGGGCATCGCTGCTGCGGTTCCATGGCTGCGGGAGGGCCACTGGGCTCCTGTTGGCTTCCCTGCTGAGCAGACTTCTGCATTCTTGCCTCTAGGAAGCCGCAGCTGCTGCAGGGCGTCTATGCCATGGGATTCAACAGGCCGTCGAAGATCCAGGAGAATGCGCTGCCCATGATGCTTGCAGAGCCGTACGTATTTGCGCATGCTGGGGGGGGGGTGAGGAGGGGGGGCTGTCCTGTAGAGCAGATGCTCGCTGAGGGGCTCCTGCAGCCCCCGACTCCCCGCAACGCGCGGCTGGATGTGCGGATGGCTTGCCTTTTCGGGCACTCCCGTGCCCCCGCAGGACCATGGCGTGGCCTGCAGAGTCTGGCCACATCCTGCATGAAGCAAGCAGTTCCCCAGAATGTATTGCCTGGGATTTTGCGTGGAAAGGCAGTGAAGCCTTGCTGTGGTGGCAGTGGTTCCTGAAACCAGGAAGCTGGAAAGCCACTCTTGCGCGTGGGTGGCACACACGTGCAGGACTACGCTCGGGTCCACTGCCCGGCGCAAAGGCCATTCCTGCGCGCATACGTTAGGAAGCTCTGCTTTGAACATCTGTATGCCTGCGCCAGCATTTGGGTTTTGTTCCTGAAGCTGGAGAGCGTTGCAGGTGGGACTTGCATCTCGACAGTGACCGGACCCAGACCTGCTGCTTGTATGCAGTCCGCGGTCTTACCGTGACTGTGTGGCCGGGGCTCCTTCATCCCTGCAGAGCAGTGTTTGGGGAGACGACTGCCAGATCCAGCCCCTAAGAGCACTGGAAGCTTGCCCGTTCGTGCTTTGTACCATGTGCGTGCGAGGACTGGAGACGGGGGCTGGCCCCTCTGGCTCCCTTTTCTCCTGGTGCCTGCTGCTGGGTGGAGGAGCTGGCTTTGCTCCTGCTGGGCCTTCGGGCCCAAGGTAACCCTTGTGTGGACCAGCCCGTTAACTGCTGCTGCTCTAGTGAAGGCGCAGTTCTATGCAGACTTAGACAGAAAAAAGACCTCGGCTCCCAGGATGACCCAGCCGGCTCTGCAGGCTGGGGCGTGTTAAGAGTCACAGGCCGCATGTCTGTCTGAACTTGCATGGCATGGCGCCCTTAGTTCCTTACAGGAATGAGTCTTGAAATGTTTTCCTCCTCACTTTGGTATGCATCTCCAGTCCACAGAACCTGATTGCACAGTCCCAGTCCGGGACAGGTAAAACGGCGGCTTTTGTCTTGGCCATGCTCAGCAGAGTGGAACCCGATAACAAATACCCACAGGTACCTACGGGGTTCTTCACCTGGTGTGGCTCCCAGAAGGACAAACGGGGTCAGGGGTCTCTCCATTCTGCCAAGCAGTTGAATGTTAACTTTTGCAAATCTGTGCCTGAAAGCTCCCATGCATTGATAAGCTCACGCTTTCTTTGATCAATCAGTTTCGGTGCTTGCGAGTTGAGAGATAGGGCAGCCTGTCCCAATGGGCAGCCTCCACATGGACAGGTGTGCACTTGTGAGCATTCCCGGCCACTGGCCACACTTGGACACATCACCAGAAGGCACCAGGTTGGGGAAGGCAGAGGTAGCCTGTGCATCCAAGATTCTCTGGGAAACTGTTGCCGGAACATCATAAAGAGGACAAGTCCCTTAGCGTAAAGGTCGGGAACACCACACTTTTTGTGTTGCCACTGAATTTGCGACCGCGGAGGGTGAAAAAGGCAATGCTTTTCCAGGAAGCAAGGCACTCAGAGGCTCCCAGCAGCCTTCCAGGCCTCCCATTTGCGGCAGCCAGTTCAGTTGCAGTTGGTGGAGGCAGTGTGTTCCCCCACTCCTGGAGGTTGCCCTCCTCTCCTCTGGGGATGTCGCAATGCATGTTTATGCGTGAGGAAAAGAGCTGCAGGAGGGCTGTTGGAGAGATGGCTGCATCTCCCGACTGGGCTTCCCCCCCCCCCCCCCTTGCATTCACCTTCCACCTCTGCGCTGCAGCTGGCAGCCAGATGTGGAATGTGTCTTCCTCACAGAGCTCCTGCGCTCAAAGGAGCCCCGTCCTCTGCTTTTGAGCACCACCTGGTGGGTGCCGTACATGTCCAGACATCACAGGGCTGTGCTGCAGCTTGGAGCAGATGGGTGTTCCCAGGCCTTGAGTTGGGAATGCCGTAGCATTTGGAAGAGCCTTCCAGGCCGGTAACACTGACTGAGCTATGAGTCAGCTGCTTTTATGTTGTCTTCTCTTCTCTTTTTAAACCTGTAACCCTGAGGGCATTGTTTTACATCTTTGTAAGTGGCTTTGTAAGTGGCTAGGTTTGGCTGAGGAGCTGGGTAGAAATTTTTTGGGCAAATAATGCTGATTCCAGCTATGGCAGGAAGTGGGTCCGTGTGTCGTGCCGGTGTCGTGTTCGAGTGTGGGATGCGAGAGATCTGGGTTTGAATCCTCCGTTGGCCATGAAGCTCCCTGGGTGACTTCAGGCCAACCACTGATTCTCAGCCTACCCTACCTCACAGGGCTTTGTGAGAAGAAGGGGAGGGGGATTATGTAAGCTGCCTTGCATTCCCTGAAAGGAAAAGGGCAGGTTATCCATGAGATGTGGTTAGGGCAGTGTGAGGCTGGGGGGGCGGGCAGGTAAGCATGTGACATGCCGCAGTGGGAGCCCTTCCGTCGCCGAATTCCCCAGCCTGGCCGCCTTCTTCCTTTCAGTGCCTGTGTCTCTCCCCAACGTATGAGCTGGCCCTTCAGACCGGGAAAGTGATCGAGCAGATGGGCCGGTTCCATCCGGAGCTGAAGCTCGCCTATGCCGTCCGTGGCAACAAACGTGAGTGCCAGCCACCCTGTGGGCTTGTGGGGCTGGGGTCGGGGTTAGGATCAGAAGCAGGTTACGTCTTTGGGTTGCGATGTTTCTGTAAGACCTGGCAATTGAAACTTGCTGGAGGATTCTCAACCAGTAAAACCAGAAAATACAACATGACATGTGGTAAAAGGTTAAAGCTACAGCATAAAATAGATGTCAGAGTCCAACTTAGTGGCACTGCAACTGATTTAAAACAGCAGAGCCCAAAAGACTAAAATGTCTGGGAAAATAGGAAGCTCTTCCCTTTGGGAAGCACTTTCCGCATCCATGGTGCCACAACAGGGGTCCGTCGTAGTCTCCCCACCCCCACCACTGCCGCCGCTTCATGCTATTTGGCAGGGGCTGCCTGAGAAGGACTGCTGAAGACAACTTTGGGGTCTGGACAACTTTGGGGTCTAGGCAGGTGTTTGTGGAAGGAGACAGTCCTTAAGGTAACTTGGCCCCAACCCATTCAGGGCTTTCAGTGTTGATATCAGCACCATGAGTTGGGCCAGGTCATTATGGCCTCTAATGCACAGGGAGACAACAGCAGCTGTGGAAACCTTGAAGAATATCTCCCGATGTAACAAAAAGGCTCCTTCGTCAAGAAGCGTGGTCTGTTGGAATAGACCTTTTACCTCCCACGCAGCCTCTTAGTACTCATGGATGATTCACAGAGGCCCTCTTGGTGTTCTCCCAGCTTGCGTTAGATGAGTTCAGGGCCTTTTTAAGGATGGCAGCAAAACTGTGGAATTCCTTTGCCAAGGAAATTCTTTGCTTTGTCCTGGCTTGGGTTTCTGACAGCATCACAGCAGCGTTCTTTTGAAAGGAAATTGGGACTAACTGATTTAACGATAGTCCAGTTGCATCTTCCTGGTTGTGTTGGTCAGTTGCATTTGGCCTGTAATTTGCCATGTTTTGATTTTTATGCTTGTACTGTATGCATTCTGTATGTACCAGAAGACAGATTAAACATCCTCAAGAGGTGGTTGGCCTTCCAGATGTTTGCACTACAACTCCCATAAGTCTCAGCTAGCATGGCCAGAGGTCAGGGGTTCTGGAGGATGCACTCTAAGGGTTCCATGTTCCCTCTCCTACTATGAATTTGGTGTCAAATTGCTAGATAATATCTTGCTAAATTTTAGGACAAGCCCTGGCTGGCACGATTGACCTGCATTTCTAGAAAAGTTTGCTGGGGCAGCAAAACAGGGAGGAGAGACCAATGCCACAAGGGACCCATTGGTCAGGGGCTGCCTATTCCTTCCGTTGGCCCTGAATGGATTTTGATGGAAGGAGAGGAGCGTGCCAGGCCTTCCCTAGCAGGATGGTCCAGGTGGACAAGGAAATGGCAACGGTGCATGGGAGGGCATCGGGGAGAGGCCAGTCCTGGGTGGCGTGTGTCTGGATGAGCCTAAGGCTGGCCTGAGCTGGCAGGTTCCAGGCCAGGCTGCTTGGTCCTTCAATATTTCCTCTTTAGCTAGAAGTCATGTTGTGCTTTGGGGTTTTTTTCTGTTTGAAGACTGAGGGGTGCTTTAAATGCAGAATTTTAGACCCTGCATCTGAATTTTTCGGTGGGGGCAGGCAGAGATCTGTTGCCATGGACGTGAGAAGTGGCAGAATGGTTTCCTCGCAGGCAGCGCAGGAAAATTTCCCGAGTAAATTGTGCCTGTTCTTAACTCTCTGGGGAAAGAGGGATCTCCCCCGCTCCTTTCAACCAGCCAGGAGGCCTTGCTGTTCCAAAAGGGGCCCCAATGTCCTCTTTTAACAGTGGAGCGCGGCCAGAAGATTGCCGAGCAGATCGTCATTGGCACGCCAGGCACGGTCCTGGACTGGTGCTCCAAGCTCAAGTTCATTGACCCCAAGAAGATCAGAGTCTTTGTCCTGGATGAGGCAGATGTCATGATCGCCACCCAGGGACACCAGGACCAGAGCATCCGCATCCAGAGGTGAGGCTGAGCCCATCTACTCTCCCGGGCGCCTTGCCTGGGTGCTGCTGCAGCCCAGCCCTTAACCAGGGCCCTTTCTGTGAGTGGAGGATTTCCACAGAAAGGAAACTTCCTTCAGTCAGACCTTCCTTTGCAGTGGCCAGAGGGTGCTCAGGCAAAGCGCAGGGTTGCAGAACCTGACCGGGACCCCCGTCCGGCCCCCTGAGAGTCCCAGTTTCCCCGGCCCTGGCTCTTCCATTTGCCAGCAGTCATTTGGAGGTTTCCCAGCTTTTAAGCAGCTTTCCCCCCTCTATTCCCGGAGGATGAAATGCCTCCCTTCACACAGTTTCTTTGCACGTTGGTCCTGCTGTCCACTCTGGCTCTGCCCAGCACTAGGATGTGGCTTTCCAAATGGGCTGAAGGAGGCTGCCCCTCCCAGGCCTAGCACTGCAGAGCTTTGCAGCTGCACCAGGGACCTGCTTCCCTGACCTCCCCTACCTCACTCCGCCACGAGGGCTCATCTCTGAGCCAGGCGGACGTGTACGGAGCCTTGTCCTCGGTGGCTAATGCTCAGCAGAGGAGTTCCCTTCCCTCAAGAGCTGCACACGCTCCTCTGCTGGATGCTTTGGGACGCTTCCATGGCATTCCACGTCTGTAAAGACCCAGCCACATGGGCCGTGTAGAGCGCTGGCGGGGTTTCTATCTCTCAGGTCTAGGGATGCACAGACCAACTTACTTCTGGTCTCTGTCAGTGTTTCCATTTTTAACCCCACTGTTTAACCTCTCCGATTTGCATTATCTCTTAACTTTCCCCTCACAAAATGCAATGCAGCAGGTAAAGGAGTATATTGCAAAAGTCCGAAGTGTAACACCGGCAGGAAACAATCTGCTGAGCCACACGCTGGTCCAGAAAGCACAGACTCGGGGTGGTTTGCCTAGAAACGGAGAAGCATCGGTTTGACCGTCACTGATCGGCGCATGTGTAGACACATGAGCACACAATTCCAATCAGCTTCTGATTTGACTATTGGAGCGTTTTATTGTACAGAAAAGACCCAAGTGGGAGACCTGATGGAGGCTGGTAGAGCTATTGCAAGAGGTGGGAAAAGTAGATGAAGGGACATGGTTCAGTCACGCTAGCACCAGGAAATGCCTCTTGGTGCTGATTAAGGCAGGGGGCACCAGCGGACGACCTGCACTCAAGTACTTGCTGCTGCGGGACTGAGGAGGTTTTGGGGGGCTTTCTGGGAGCATGCAGCATTGCACAGCTCTGGTGTGCTCCAGCAGAGCTGCTCCCCTGAATAGGACTCGGCTGAAGGGCAACGTGTGGCTGTTTTCCCTTCTTCTCTCTCAGAATGCTTCCTCGAGGCTGCCAAATGCTGCTTTTCTCGGCTACCTTTGAAGACTCAGTGTGGAAGTTTGCCCAGAAAGTGGTTCCTGACCCCAACATCATCAAGCTGAAACGGGAGGAGGAGACGCTGGACACCATCAAGCAGTACTATGTCTTGTGCAACAGCCGAGAAGAGAAATTCCATGCACTCTGCAACATCTACGGTGCCATTACCATTGCGCAGGCCATGATCTTCTGCCACGTGAGTGATTGTGGGGAAGAAGCATGGGCGCATTGAGTCAAATGGGACGTGTGTGCGGGTAGAGTAGAGGGAGGCTTCTAGGCGAGGGACGTACCTATTCCAGATTGGTGTTATAAAAACCTCTCTCCTGCATTGCTTCATGTACCCCACTCTCTCCTGCTCTCTGTGTGTGTGTGTGTGTGTGTGTGTGTGCGCGCGCTTAAATTTGAGCCTGAATCCACCGCTTTCATTTTTACATCTCGCAGACTCGCAAAACTGCTGGCTGGCTGGCAGGGGAGCTCTCCAAGGAAGGTCACCAAGTGGCCCTCCTGAGTGGTGAGATGATGGTGGAGCAACGAGCTGCTGTGATCGAGCGCTTCCGAGAGGGCAAGGAGAAAGTTCTGGTGACCACAAACGTCTGTGCCCGAGGTAACTGGAGTGCCTGGCTCTGGATAAGTGATGCAGGTTGTGTTGTTGCGTACCCACAAAGGTTGTTCTTAGGTTGCTTGCCTAGGGCACCTGCCCGCTGATGGGACCTTCTCACCTGGCTGAGTCTCACGAGCCACAGGGTCTCTTGTTGCCCTCCTTGTTAAAACGTGGTGCTTGTGTTGGAAGGCTCACTGGCCACCCAGGGGTGGCGGAGTGCAGCTCTCGCTGTTGTCACGGACTCGGTCTCAAGCCCTCCCTCTCTCCCTCACCCCACATCAGTTCTGAACTGCTCTGCACTTCCAGGGCATTTCATCTCCTCTTTCTCCCTATTTCATGCAAATTCTCCCCACCCCGTTTGTAAATCTTGGAAAGCTTTAATAAGTAAAGTGAAATAAGGGTATGTAAACCAAAAGCAGCAGTTAGACCCGAGTTCTAGAAGATCTCACTCTGCCCCAAAAGGGATCTTCCGCAATGGAGCCCCAACCCCATCAGGCCTCGGTGTGCCTCAACCCCTGTCTGTTTTGATGGCCTCACTGTGATTGTCATTTTGTCTGCTCAGTTACAACCTCCCAAATTTGAACTGGTCCCGTATGATCTGCCTGCTGGCAGGAACCTTCGTGGACCTCAGACAAGCCTCTTTCTTAGTCCTACCTGGAGACACCTGGGCCTAACCTGAGATCTTCCGCATGTGACTGAACCCCTTCCCCAGCTGATACACGGTGTCTCCAAATTGGGTATGCTTTCCCCACTGCACCAACACCTGTGCAAGCTACCTATGCAGACAGCTTCACTGACTGCTTCGCACATATGACAGACGAGTCTCTTCTCCACCGAGCACAAATCACGTTGGTGGTGCTGCGTGATGCTTGTATGAAATTGGTAGTAAGAGATTTGGTGCACTGTTCTGCTGCTCCTCGGCTTGGCAACTTTCCTGATTCCTTTTGATCTTTCCCCTGCTTTGCAGAAATTTAAGTAATAGGCATTGTGGAGTCAGTTCACAGTGTTGAGCATTCTCCACACACCTTTCCCTTGGTAATACTTGCAGTGGCCATCTTAGCAAGGTGGTAAAAAGCATCGACACAGGGCTGTGGAACTGAGAGGTGGCAGTTCATCTGAGGGCCAAACTAGATCTTCCTACAGGACATGAAAAGTCTCGGTGTGTTAAAAGGAAAGGACTCTGAAAAATGTGTACTTCAGTACCACAAAACTGTGAGTCGATGAGAATCAGCAGTACAAACCCTTTGAGTATTTCCAACCCCTTTCAACCTGAACATGGGTCTTAATATTCGGACGCAATCACCGCGTGTCTGTTTTAGGACTGTTCGGCTGTGAATGTTTCAGTGGTTCGCTGTTTTACTGCAAACGGCTCTGTCACTGGATGGAATGAGCCAAGCTTTCACTCTTCCTTCGTGCTACTTCTCTAGGGATTGATGTGGAGCAGGTCTCTGTTGTCATCAATTTTGATCTACCTGTGGATAAAGATGGGAATCCAGATAACGAGACCTACCTGCATCGCATTGGCCGCACGGGGCGCTTTGGCAAGAGGGGCCTGGCCATCAACATGGTGGACAGCAAGCACAGTATGAACATCCTGAACAGGATCCAGGAACATTTCAGTACGTGGCTCTTGGTTTCTTCCCCACTCGGGGCTTAGGTTCTTGATTTTGGCCAGTCATACCGCTTGAAGGCCCGAGGGTGCTGCTGTTGCGTGACTTGGTGCGTGGTTCTGGCTGCTGTAGTTTTAGGAAGAAGTGAGAAAAAGGTTTTGGTCCGTAGGACCCTATTGGCCCCTTTCAGTTCTACTGTACTGCAGTTCTAGACCAGGCATGATCGGCTGGGTTCCTGTGCGTTTGTCTGGCCTCCACAGTAAGAGCTCCTTCCACCGGACCATGTGTGGGTATCCCAGGGTCTTCTGAACCGTCACAAAGTCCTGTGGGACAGTGTCCCATTTCTCGAGGGGAGGAGCCCCAGTTGGTTTAGACCCTGCTCAGACAGCTTGGGAGAAAAGTGGAGTAGCCCACTCAGCCCTACTCCGCTTCTCTACCTTCCCAGGTTCAAGTTGTTAGTTTTTGGGATTAGAACAGGATTCAAAGCCCAGGGGGAGACATGTTAATTGCGAACTTTATGGTTTCTGTGAGCTCAAAGAATCGCCTTCCAAAAGGCTCTGCCTGCTACTGCTGTGAAGCAGGCAAGGCCAGTGCAGGCACGGGGGGCTGTTGCGCAGTGCATGCGCTGGGATCGTTCCATCCCTGCCACTGCACAGGAGGAGAGCAGCCGTCTGCTTTCAGGAAGTGGGGGGCTGCTGAGTGCAGCATGCACAGCGGACTGCTGTTCCGGGCTTCCTTCTTCCTTTTTGGCGACTTAAGAAATTGCATTAAAATGGGGTGGCCTTCCCAAAGGGGGAGGTAGCGCTCTGGCTCCTGTGCACCGTGAAAGTAGCACTCTGGGGCTGTCGAAGTGAAGTGTCCCCCATTTGTTATTTCAGAAAAAAGTGCTTGACTATTGCAAATCTCCGTATCTTTTGCATGTCCTGTGCAAGCCCTGGAGAATGTGGTTGGGCTGGTTTCCTGGTGGTTATCTGCTCTTCTTTTGGATAAGCTCAGACTTCTGATTTCCTCCTGAATACTGTCTCTGTTTCCTTGTTAATACAGATAAGAAGATTCATAAACTGGATACAGATGATTTGGATGAAATTGAGAAAATAGCTAACTGAAATTGCAGCTGCCAGAATTGGTGCGCACACCCTCCCATGGTAGTTCTCCCACTGCAATTGGATCAGCATCCTGAATGGCACAAATCTTAGCCAGTCGCACGCAAAGGGATGTTTTTAAAGATAATACACAGAAATTACCTCATCTTAAAAGAAAAAAAATGTGGCTGGACTTGATTTTAAACAAAAGTGCAAACTCTGGGGACAGAAGAAATGTTTACAGTAACTTTAAACTTTTTTTGTTTTTTAGTTTAGCCTTAAAATGGGAAGATCTCTTAAATTCTAAGGATGATGCCAAAAAATAGCCAATTGATTAGGAGGGATACATGCCTGTTTTTATCTTTAAGAGGGGAGTAACTTCTTCAACATGCCCAAGCAATTTGCCAGTTCAACCGCTGAGTACATGGATCTATATATCTAAATTAGTTCACACAAAATGATTTTCAGTTTGAGCTCCCCGTTTTCTAGACTTCTGTAGATTGCCGATCTGTTTCTTTAGGGAGATGATCCAGCGGGTTTGCTCTTTAGTTGGTCGCACAATGAGTTGGCTTCTGTGCTTTTCTTTCCTCTCAAAGAGCTTTGGGAATTGTAATCTTGGATGGAGACTGGAGATCCTCAGACACCTTGCCAGGCTATCCCAAGTCCCTCGAGGGACAGGAAGTTGTTGCAGTTAAAACTGTTAAGTTCACAGGGCAGATGTTCCCACAGAACCCATAGAACTCATGTTGCATTCAAAACACCATTGTGGTGAAAAGTGTAGACTTGAAACAATGGACAGAGGATGTATTTCAACACTGCCCTCCAAAGGCACTGAATTGGACACAAGCACTTCCCTTGCTTGCTGCAACACAACAAGCGAACTGAAGTGTTAAAGGAGGAGATGGGCAGGTTGTTCAGGGAAAGGATTATGGTGGGAATGCAGTCCTTAATTCGCCTGTGTGCAGGTGTGTGTGTATGCAACAGGTAGGGCTGGGCTTTGCTGTAGAGAAAAAGTGCCAGCTTTTGCAGGTGGCACAACTCTGTGCAAGGGAGGTGATCCCCCAAGTGCTGCTGTTGGGTGGCCTGGTAAAGAATGAACTCGTACAGTACCACGGCTTGGTGGATTGCATCTGATGCTCCTTGACAGAGCTGCTTATATTTACCTGGATACTTGCCACAAAACAGGTGGGTGCTTTGAATCAGATACAAAAACAGAATCATGCCTGGGATTGCAGTGACCAAAAATATTCTTGACTGGGGACATGCATGTGCTCGAGGCCAAGCACAGCGGGTCCCCAGCTGCTTCGGTTACCAGTCTGGTCTGCCTCAACTGTGACTCTACAGCCGAGACTCATTACAGCTTTTCCCCTTGGGTTTGGGTTCTCCAGTTCCCCGGTAGCAAGGTTAGATGCAGGTCTGGGTAACCACCTACTTCCTGCATGTATTTTTTTCTGAGCAAGGTAGAACTTAGCATATTTTTATTCACATGAAATGGAGAATTAGAACTGGCAGTAACACAGTCCCCTGACCTCCTACTTGGTACAGGAATCTCAACAAATAAAAATGAATTGTAAATCCTGAGTGTTTATCTGTATTTTTTTTAACTTTGGCTGTTCTGTTCAACGACAGAAATTGGATTCTTTTACCAAGTAAAACAAAACACAAAGACACAATCTTATTTTTAAAAAGTACCTAAAATTTTAGGAAGTTTGTGTGCAGCCTCTTACCAGTTTGTGTAAATGGCTTTAAGAGTGGTTGGGCAGGTTTAAACAAAATCCACACTTTTGTATGCAAGGGTCTATTTTTATTCCGCTGGAAGTGGCAGGCGAATGCGTGCTGTGTGTGTGGCAGAGGGCCTTCGAGTGCCGTCGGTGCTGCTGAACGAGAGAGCAGTGTGCGGGCATGGAATGGTCGCAGATGCTGCTGGGCTGGTGTGCTCTTTCTGACGTACTTTTCAGTTGGAATAAAGAACTTATAAGACTGAACTAGAGCTTGGTCGCTTTTCTTTTGGGATAGACTGCCTTTCCCTCTGCAGATTTTGCAACACGGGGTCCCCGAGATACTTGGTGGGAGATGGGTGAGGAGTGCAGGCAAGAAAATTGTCACTTGTATTGTGCGGCGGGCAGAAGAGGGGCATGCTTGCATCACGAGATAATGGAAGCCTCATAAGCAGTCCCTGGTCAGCATCTGTGGACTAGAGAGCCTCTGCTGTCACGGTGAAGCAGGCTCGGAAAAGCTGGGGACATCTTTCTGGCAAGTCTGCTGAACTGGAAAAATGTGTTTTTTTCTTACCTTGCTCAGCCCCTAATCTCAGTGCAGGTCTATGGTAAAAGCTAAACACTTGCCTGGGCTAAACAACAAAATTCATTACACCCGAAATTATCTTTATTGTATCTAACGGTACACATAACATGTTCTCAAATTAAGTGCAAACATATATTCCTCCCACTTACACTTTAACCTGTTCACTGTATTACACCTGATTCCCTGCCCTTGTCAATTCCCAGAGAGGGGTTCAGCTGTTCCCAAGAAGGAGTAAAGGATGCGGTCAGCACACTTGCAGCCCCTCCAAATAATACAACTTTGTGGATCTTACACAGGGATCTCAAAGCATCATGATCTTCTTTAGGCTGAGACACAACCCTCCGCTGGCTTGCCAGAGAATCAGAAGCTGAATTTTAAAGTCAACATCTGCTTAGCATGGAGGTCATTCTCAAAAGCTTGCCTTGTATATGGAATTCAGCTAGAACGTATGGGACAGTCTGTAAACTCAGCAGAATCACGTGGTCAGGCCCTTCCCAGACTCCGTCTGACAGTTCCCTGAGCACATGGAATTAGTGCAAGCAGGTCACTGCCAGTGTGGGGAAAGAATCAGCCTAGTCTTGCCCCAGAGCTGCTGCTTCATCAGCACACTCACCATCCATCCCAGCCTAGAGTGGTGCACTCCGGAAACAGCTTCAGCACCCAAACCTCCTGAATGTCTACACCAGTCCTAAACTGATCATAGCTTAGAGACTCCTCTTCTATGCAAGGAACTGCACCACCACAAAATTGTGAGTAGAAAACTTAGCTTGTCCCTCCCCGCCACTGCCACTAAATCAGTGGCACACGGACTTGGAGCAAGCCAGACAAAGACTCTTTCCGGGCGTAGTTTCACAGACCCCAACCGAGAGCAGAGGACATCTCCGACTTCTCTCTTGATTCTGCAGCCTGCAGAGCGTGTACTTTCTCAAACTGTTACCTAGATCAGGCCTCAGCTGCCTGCAACTATGCAGGCCAGAGTGGACCGTTCCTCTGAACACCTAGCTCTCAAAGCCGACAGCCTGGGACAGCTGGCTTTTTCTTTCCTTCCAGCTGCAAAATGCATGCAGATCTGACAGATGGCATGTTGGGCCACCCTGTTGCCGCTGGCCTCTGTCCATTCCTTGTAACAGAGTAGAGAGCATGGGGCCACTGCAGAGGTAGGGCTCCAGCTGCCAAAACCTGAGCAATGCTGGACATGTAACTGGTCTGGGCTGAGGACAGAGCAGAGGGGGCTAAAACTGCCAGAGATACAGAAGAAAGGCTGCACCGCTCACCCTACCCAGCCCGACCTGCTGCATCAACACTGTCAAGGGGTCCAGTCCCGGCCTATTCACCAGCTGCTATCCAAGGGAAGGATCATTCCCTACCAGCTGCCACGGTTAGTTTGGCCATCATGCGAGGCAAAACACTGACTCGATTAAAAGAAGAGAACACCTGGAAGCAGACCATTTGGCAAGCTACCTGCTCATGGAACTTAATCCATTTGTTGTGTAATACCTGGATTTTAAACCCTGCGTGTGGGAAGGTAAAGATGTTCTTCGAAACCTTAAAACAGTTCAAAATATAGATACAAAATGGCATTTTGATAAACACAAGCAAGCCCTTTTGTAATCAAACCAGGCTGATTCGGTTTTGTTAAAAATGAGAAAGCAGCTTTCAGATAAAGTTGCTTGGCCAGATCTAGGCAAAAATCAACACTTTTCACAACTAATTTCTATTTCAAAAAAGCAACGGCTCCACACCTGTTGCCAAACAACAGTGAAATTCAAATTTATACTGAATAAACCCATAAACCCATTCAGTTTAGATTATCCCAAAAGAATTTGTGCCATAATCTCATGAAAGAAAAAAATTAATTCATAAACCCAAGAAGGGCAAGGAAAGACAGCTTTACTTAACACGGCGTTCCTCAACCCGGTGCCCCCAGACATTTTGGACTGCTCCAGAGGTAGCCAAAAACCTCTGGAGGCCACCAGGTTAAGGGAAGCTTCTTTCTCTTGACTCGTATCACGAAAACTAGAGGAATCGATTAGTTAGCTGTCCTTTCCTCAAAACTAAACTTCCCTTTGTGTCTTGAATGGCGAACTCAAGAAAATAGCGCTGAGGGCAATGCCAGAAAGCTCTCTTGCCCGAGCCCTGGTGGACAGAAGCTGTGCAAACAAGAGAATTTACAAATAGAGTTTATGAAAGACATCCTGGTGGGTCATCTTTCCCATCCACCCATTTAAATACTTCTGGAGTTGGAAGGATCTATTCCCAGAAGGATACAAACTGATCCTCCCTCTGGAAAAAGTGAATTAAAAAATGTAAAGCTTCCCAGCAAAACAGACTATCTTGAAAACAACTTGGCAACTTACAAAATGGCATGGAATTAAACGGGAAGATGGAGGAAGGGGAATTCAATGCAACACTTGAGAAATAAACTGGTCCTGCACACTCCTTCCAGATATGCAAGGAAGAGCGTGGGAAAGCACGACAACAGAGGAGAAACCTCTGCTGAGTCTAAAGAGAGGACATGGGAAGAAAATCCACACCCTCCAGCAGCATTTAATGCAAAGAACAGCCCCGGGCTGCTCAGAGCGCCCCCTCCTGCTCCTCCTGCAGAATGCACAGCACTGACTTGTGGACAATTGCGCACTCCTGCAAGGACTTGGTGAGGTCAGAGAAAGTCCTCCGAGGCACTTCCGCTGTTTCGATGCTGCAGTGTTTGTACACGGCCGAGTTCTTTTGCTCTGCCACGGCAAGGATGGTTTTCAGGCTGTCCATTGGCCGAAAGTGGTGTTCAAACCTTTGACCCGAGGGAGACCGGATGGCCAGCAGCAGCCGGGGCTCCTTTTCGCAGGGCTCGTCCAGATTCAGTGCCGGTGCCGCAGAGGTTCCCTTGCTAATTTTGCTGAATGGCTTTCTCTCCAAAGGAGGTGGTGGAACCTGCGCGTATTCTCCACTGCCCCCCTTGTGCTGTGTCAGGATCGGGGTGGGCCCCTTCCCCACTGCAGGAAGCCCGCTGGAGCCCCACTCTTCCTCCTCCGTCTGTGCGCTGCCCTGGAGCTGGCCAATCTGGTCGGACATCACTTCCACGGTACCCGCCCTCATTTCCTTCCTGCTGATGGATGGGAGCACTCTGTACTTATTTAAAGAGGAGGACGTTCCCATGGGCACCTGCTGAAGGAGGTCTGGGATTTCTGCAGGAAACACTGGAAGGGGCTGGGACAGTTGCTGGGAAGAAGATGCCCTGCGGCCGCCGGCTGCATCATGGCAGGGGGCTAACGGCTGCGGGGATGCAGGCACTTGGTACGAATAGGCCTCGACACTGTGGGAGAAACTCAAGTTTGACCTTGTGCGCCCCTTCGCGGATTTTGGCCGAGTGACGTGCATGGTCAGAGGGCTTGGCTGCCAGGCAGCAGGCTTCGTGATGCCAAAGGAGGGCTTCTGTTTAGAAGGTGCGATGTTCAGGTGCGAGGCAGCAGCCATTGCTTTTCAGGATACCTACAGAAACAAGGTGGGACACCCAAAACACAAAGGGCTGGGTATCAGCAGCCTGCATCTCCAGTAGCACGTGACCCTTCAGCCTGGCTTAAGCAGCCTTCTGACTGCACTGACAGGAATTCACAGAAGCCCATCACTTTATGCCAGCAGGCCAGTGTTAATCTGCCACCTTCTCTCGTAAGCACCGTATGCACTTCCACTCCACCTAGGCTTAGGCTGTGTTCACAGGATTCTAGTGAATCCTGGCTTGCCAGAGAGGAGATACACACTAGTCCACAGAGCCCATTCGCTCCCACTTGATTCCTCAATTATGGCAGGTCAAACAAACCAGAAACAAAGTTTTTCATGATGAACAAACTAGAGGATCCTGGCTTGTTACTCCTTTTATAGGCCAGGATTGTAAAACTGGGTTTGTACTTGGCTTACAAATCCTAGCTTGTGGGGAAGCAACAAGCCGGGATCCTGGATTTCATACAATATCCTGAACAGACTATTACTGTCAGTAGTGCTATTACTGTTAGTAGTACTGTTAGGAAGAGGCAAGTAGAGTTAACAGTAAGCCAGGATGTACTGGACGCTTGCTTTACCTCAGTGTGGGACAGATATAGTGTGGCAGAGGTCTTTATGGATGGGTCTCCACCCGCTCAGGTGCAAGATGTGCTACGATCATCCACCCACTGAACATAATGTCTCGTGCATCTGACAAGGTGGGCACTGCTTCCCAAAAGTTTCTGCTACACTACAGCCATTTTACTGTGGCATCTTAACCAATGCTTCTCTTGCCGACATTTGATCTGGCTGTGGTCATGCATATCTTAGTTAGACCCCATCTGAATTACAGTATTGCACTTTTGTGGGACTGTCTTTGAAATGTCTGCTGTGCCAGAATGCTGTGGCCAGTCAGTTGATGAGGGCCAGTTACAGGAAGTTGGGTCCAGGCTGTTTCCAGGCGTAATTCCCACTGATATTTATATTTTTCGATTGATTGATTGATTGATTGAGAGGATCATGTTAAGAAAAAAGCAAAAGTATGATACTCACATGTAGGAGATGCTCCATCTGTTCAAAAAGATTGACAGCAAAAAAGCTCCCCAGGATCAATAGGCCAGTCAGTCTGATCGGATCTCAGCCTGCGCATCCAGGGAGCTGCAGATTTTCAAGCCTGAAATCCAGGAAGAGAAGCAGTTGGGGCAGGGGGAATATCCCTCTTTGCTGGTTTGAGATGCTGATGTGTGACTTTCTAGAAGACAAGGAGAGTACTAGGGCAGCCCCATTTCCAGTAGGGATCAGGCATTTCTAGAAGACTTGTAACAGGCAGAAATCCAGTGGGTGCAGCTTTTCTTAAATGACTGCACGTTAAAGGTGGTGCCACGAAAAAGGCAATGCAACTACAGAGTTTTCAAGCTAGCCAAAGGCAGATGCTGCACTGGGGACCATGCCTCGTGTTAACACCAAGGATGCACACCTTCACTTGACTTGTCATTTAGTCCTGGTCCTCTGAGCTGCCAGTGGCTGCCAGCCCAAGGAATATTGGCTCCCCCAGGGTCTGGCTGCAATCCAACACAAAGCAAAGGCAGAGAACATCCGTGGAAATCACTGGACATAAACAGTGCTGGATGTGACCGTGTCTAAGCATGTCATGCCTCTTACACTATTCTTCCTGGGTCTAGAAAGGGAGCGCCAGCTGACACTTGGCTGGAACTAGTTGCCACTTGGCTCTTCCTCCCAAACTGCCTCTTGAAGGCCTCTTATCAAGCCCCATTTGATCCTCTACAGTAAAAGTAAATGTATAGAGGGAATTTTTTTGAACTTGTCAGGCTAAAGCAAGGATCCCTTTACCCTTTAAGAGGTTGAAAAAACACATGTTTCTTCCATGCTGACCATCATGGTCTTCATTTTCTGAATGCAAGCATAGTTTGGGTTGTGTTTTATCTGCTTATTTGCATTTGTTAAGATACCTCTTATCAAAGCAAGGCAAAACTGAAATGAAAAATCTACAGGCATGCTCTAACATGCTCCATGTCATCAAATAGTCTCCAACTGGTGACCCCATCAGTGTAAGTCCTCCCAGACCTGCTGTCCTTGACAGCCCTGCTCAGCTCTTGCAAACTCAAGGCTGGAGCTTCCTTTATGGAACAGACCCATCTCATCCTTGGAACATACGTAAGGGCACTATAAACACTGCATTCAGAACAAGCTTACTAGGGAATACTCCCACTCAAAAAAATGGCAACAAAGCACTTTTATGAAGTGCCAGTTGAAAGCTGAACTTAACTTGAAAGGCTTTTAAAAACACACACACAAAGAAAGGGTTACCATCCATCAGAAACAAAGGAGGCCAGGTAAATAAGGAACGTAAGATAGGGATTGTAGAAATGTATGCACCTGTACAGCTTCTCCACCGTGGGCCTGTCCGTCTGCTAAGATCCTCTGTCTTTGGAGGTTAGGCAGGTGGTGACCAGCATCGAGGCATTCTCAGGGACGCCACCTCAAGCACTGTGCCCATGATGTCCTCTTACATGGGTCTTTGCTGACAGGCAAAGGGCTTTTATTTTTATCTAGCCCAGGCTTTTAATTAACAAGCATTCTGGTGTGCAGCTCTCTGGGGTCATTAAAGGGTTTTTTGTCTACCACTTTTCTATTTTAACATGGGTGGTATTTTGTTGTTTTGTCTTTTCTTCCAGTTGCACTTTCATTACTGCCTTGCAAATCTCTGCACACAGCTTTGAAAAAAACACCCCCAGTCAAAGCTACCTGCCCCATCCAAAGCCACCCAAAAGCCTGGAAGTCATGCAACAGATGGTGATCTTTCTGCTGTTACCAAACAGGGGGATGGCACTCTTTAACACCTTTGTCCACCCGCTATAGCTTCTCAGCGCCACAAAACTGGGAACCAGAAAAGAGACTCTAGAAAAGACAAAGTCAACGCTTTCTGCAAATGTTGGGGTGCCACCACCTCATTTCCAGCTCTGCAGGAGATATAGAAGAAGTGGGCCCATTGACTTAGGCCACTATTAAAGGAACAGCAATGTCACCCAGAGACAGCCAGTCAGCCACAAAAGCCAGGCTTCCTAAGCCACTTATTTGTATTCTCTCAGAGTCTATTTATTAAAAAGAGCAGGCACGTTCTGTATATCTCACTGACTATGCCAAGCAACCAATAAACTCCAAGGTAGCACAATGAATACAAAAGCTGTTTGTTCTGAGCAAACAGGACTCTATTCACATGTGAAATGGCAAATGTCTATTGGCAAGGGTTAAACACCCAAATTCCCCCATCTGAGCTTGCATTCTTGGAGACCAGTAGGCTCACTTCTGTCTGAACTGTTTTAAATTGCAGCACAGCAGACTTTGCACTGTGGTTTTTCGCAAACTTAAGAACATAAGAAGAGACATGGATCAGACCAAAGGCCAACCTAGTCCAGCACTCTGCACACATGGTGGCAAGCAGGATGGGCGCAAGACTTCCTCCTGCCCAAGCTCGTCAGCAGCTGGTACATGGAGGCAGGCCACCTCCAGTAAAGGAAGAAGGTGAAGACACCTCGGGTTCCTTGCAACACAAAAAAGGCAGAATATAAATGGAATAGAACTCTGAAATGTGTAGGTGTGGGGAGCTTTGCAAGAAGAAAATGTGTGGTACCTGCAACAGTTCATTATGTCTATTTATTACAGTCTGCTTCACAGCTGAGTGGGGGTTTGAACCTTCTTAGGATGGGGTGGGGAAATGTAGATGTGAAGCTATGGATAGATCTTTCCAAGGTTTGCAGCAGATCACCGAGGTCTGATCAACAGTCCCAACAGTGAGGGTGTTTAAGAATAGGCTGGACATGCACATGGTGGGCATGTCATGAGCAGAGCCGGCTGGAGCTGGGGGTCAGACTAGATGGCCCAGGAGACCCCTTCTGACTCACTCTGTTTCTATGTTTCTATCCACAGCAATCACCCATCCAGGCACTAACCTGACCAAGCTCTGAGAAACTTCAGCAATGCAGACTCCCTTAGTTTAACAATAACTACGCTTATGTGTGAGCTGTTGAGAGATTTTATTGTAAGTATTTTAAATGACAGGGATAATACTATTTTTCTGACACATCAGGCCTGCTGCTAACTGCCTCTCTCTCAGTCTCGGCTGCTCCTCACCTGTAAAATAGGAGCATTCATCAGCGGTCTCTGACCAAGCTTCTGTGCATCTTGTCTGCCAGTTTTACAGTTTTGCGTTGCAATCTCTGATCTGTAATAACTCAGAGGTGGATTTGTGCTTGGATATGCAGGTTGTCCTGGTGTGCTGCTTATGGGGCCCCTGCAATACCTGAGCCACCGATTACCACCTGGTTTTAGTGGGTGGATTTGGGGATGGGAGGCCAATAAAGTAGACTCCACAAGCCTGAAGCCTGCTTAAAAATCTCCCTGGTCTTTGCCTAACACTCTATCCCAAGGGATAATTTGGCACCTTCCAGATGCTTTGGACTACAGTTCCCATCAACCCCAGTACCAAGGGTCAGGAAACATGGGAATTGTAGCACAAGCCAACTTAAGAATTCCAGATCGTTTGCCCAGGGTCTATGCCAGCTGTCCCCATCCCAGTGTTCTCCAGAGGTGTTGGACTACAACTCCCAGCAACCCCCATGTCTGAAGGCCACTTTAAAGAGTCCCTCTTGCTCGTCTGCTTCCACAAAAGCTCTTCCCACACCGAGGAGAGGGGCCCCTGGAGGAAAAGGTTGAGGAACGATGGGAGTTATAGTCCAAATCATATAGAAAGACTGTATACCTATGCTCTAAGCCAGTGTTCCTCAAACTGGCGTGCCCCGGGAGTGCCGCACTACAACTACAACTTGGCTGGTTGGGGATGCCCCCAAAGGCCGCTTTAAGCAGTCTCTTACCCTTCACTCGGACCCGCAAGGGGGGGATGGTGAGAGGGAGAAGGAGAAGCCGCTTATTTGTATTCATGGAGCGGGGAGCTTCTGCTTCTCGCCCTCACCGGGGCGCCCCACGGATCCAGGATAGGGTCGGGGGGGGGGGGGCGGAAGGAGACGTTTCTGCCCGCCGAGCCAAGCAAGGCGCGGGAGCCGTGCAGGGCCCTCCGCTCGCGCTCTCACCTCGCGGCGGCCCCATCCAGCAGCCCCACTCGCAGCCGCTCCCGTCCTCAGCCGTAAACAGCGCCGCGTTTCCACGGCAACGGCCACCCGCGGCCTACTTCCGGTCTGCAGCGGAACAAAGCGCGACTTCCAACCGCCCGGAGAAAAGCCGCCGCGTGGGGTAGGCCAAGAGCACAGGACGGTGTCGCTCTAGACATTAGCGGCTCTATGGTAAAATCTGCATCGCATAGAATAGAGAGTGAACAAGGATACGGACGCTTCGTCGAGATTGAACAAGGAACAGCGATTTAAAGCGACCGGTTGTTGTTGCAATATAAGGGCTGTCTCATCTGAGTGGAGAGTGGAGTTCACTTGCTATTTAAGCCTGTATCAGCCCCTCCTATATTATGAACTATAACTGGACTACCTTGCAGGGCTGTTGTTAATTACTTTCTCACTCCCACCCAAATATCAAATGTTGGATAATGGCTCAGGGCTGTTGTATGCTGTTGTCCCAGCCACCCTGTACAATGTGAGGATATCATCTCCAGAAAACACTGCTGGGTCGTTGTAACCATGCATGCCTCCTGAGCAGAGTGCTGAAAAGTGGCTGAATACATACACGGAGGTATCCTACACTCACACACACACACACCCCCAGGAAAACAGGGGAGTCAATCTCCTATGGCAAGAGAAATGGTAGCTTACTACTGCAACTTTTGGGGGACAGTGAGATCCCAAAGGGATGGTAAAGATGCCTGCTGGGGAATATCGAATATTGTATGCTCAGCTAATGGGCCACAACTTGTGTCCGAAGAATTCAAAGCATGCTGGAACCAGTGAGAATAAGTCACCTGCATTTGTCTATGCCCCAAGCAGTGCGGAAGCCTAGTCAGCTGTAAAAATGGCTCTGCATGCAAGCTTATGAATGAACAGATGTTTTAAAAATGGCCCACAACTCCCAACATGCCCCAGCCGGCCATTTTTTGTGGGCCATTTTTATTATTACTTTGCATTTTTAAGTATTTCACTGTAGTCTCATGTCCTGGCAGCCTCAGTCTCTTTTCCCCATCCACCTTACCCCCATCTGAGGCTGATTTTCCAACCTTGGAGAGGCTGCTGGTGCGGTTATGGGGGAAGGGGCCAAAGTGCACTCCAAGGCTGGGCTCTGTATTCAGCCCGGCATCTGGGGATCCCAAGTACCCTTCAATACTGTCTAGGATCATTTTCCAACACATTTATTTATGGCATGCGCTTCACACAAGTCTGCCAGTCCTAAGGGCATGGACCCTTACTCTGTAAAAGATGCATTCACCTTTCACACATGGCTGAATGAAATAAAGAGGCCCGTATTTTATTTTATTTATTTATTTTTCGATTTCTATCCTGCCTTTTTCCAACAAAGGGCTCAAGGCAGCTTACATCATTCTCCTCCTCCATCTTATCCCCACAACAACCACCCTGTGAGGTAGGCTGGGCTGAGAGTCGGTGACTGGCCCAAGTCACCCAGTGGGCTCCATGGCCGAGCGGGGACTCGAACCCAGATCACCTGAGTCCCAGTCTCACGCTCTTAACCACGACGCCACACTGGCTCTCCATAAAATTAAAGGCTTTCCACTAAAGCAGAAAGCCTGCTAGACAAATACAAAAAGATCTGAAATCACTCTTTGGATTGCTCTCTTATGGTGCTGACATTGCTTGGGAGATCAGAGGTTTTTCGCAAAGTCTTTTGCAGCCAGTGTGGAAAGATCCAAGCCAGCAGCAGTCCTCCGAGCTCACAGTTTGGCTGGGGGGGGGGGGGGGGGGGGGTACACTGGGCCCCGAAGAGGGGAGGATGGGGCTGTGGAGTTTCCCCAGCCGCCTTCCCTCCCCCTCCAGCACTACATCCTGAGGGCCAGAACCAGCCATCTGGAGAAGATACTCAGGCCAGGCAAGCCGGGGCAGAAGCGCCCAGCAGCTGCTCCTCGTTCGTGGCACAGAAGCCTCCGAGTTCCAAGGCTTTTGAGCATCTGCCGCAGGGGGATACGACTGTCTCTGGGGCGCCATCCTGGCCCACAATTCGAAGAAAACCCTACAATTCGAAGCATCCCCCGGCCAGTTTGGGCCGGCTCGGCTCAACAGCGGTCTATCCCCTGCACCGGCTTCCTTCTTTCCTGTTATCCTTTTTCATTCTGGCCACGAGAGGGCAGGGCACGTACACAGATGCGCCCCTGGAAAGGCGTTTCGAGCATCCATTCCTGCCTGGCAATCCTGCGAACACCGTCCCTCTGCAGTCCTCCAAGTGTCTTCAAGCAGGAGCCCTTCCTTGCAAAAATAAAAAATAAACCTTTTGAAACACGCACTTTTGCCCATTTGCTTGCCCTGATAAACAGATTGGAAACAAAGATCACGCTGAAAGCCAAAATGAGCTTTACCGTGAGTTTCACAGAATACAGGCAAGCTCCAAAAGGGTTGGTTCCCCTGAACTATAAACTAAGACATTTTTAAAATCCTACTTTTGTACCCCAACTTTTCCTCTAAAAGAGTTCCAGGGAACTTTTGTGAATCGTTCTCTTCCTGCCATCCTCACAACAGCCTTGTTGGGTAGATCCAGCCAAGAAAGGACGGGGGGTTTGGCCCCAGCTGATACAATGGGAGCTTTGCAACTCGAATCTAGAACTCTCCTGAACTGACATTCTAGCTACTGCATTGCCCTTTGTCTCTGGTTCAATGCTGTTAGATTTTTTGCCTGTCTTTAAAATGTTTTTAAAGCATTTTAAATGCCTTTTTAAACTGCTTGCTGCTTGGGACTGGTGCCCAGTTCAACCAAAGCAGCTACACAGAGGAAAGATGCTGGAATCCCATCAAATGTCACAAACTCTGTTAATGCCAGCACTGCTTAGAGGAGAAATGCAAAACAAGAGAAGGAAAACACCCACACCAGCTCTGCACTCGGTCACACCTCCAAGGAGCTCCGGCAGACGCCACGGGGAGCATGGCAGGGCCCCAATTCTGCCTGCAGCAAGCTAAACTCGGCCTCACAAAGCACCAGTCCTTGGCTGCCCTGGATAGCAGAGGCATCGTGTTGATCTGTGGTGCCAGCACTCAGCTCCAACAGGAAAATGGAATACACTCCCCAGAGAGGTTCGCCTGGTGCCATCATTTCATTCTTTTCAGTCCCAAACTAAAACCTTTTTATTTTCCCAATGTTTTAAGGTTTGTCTGTTTTTAATATCGGTTTTATTGTTGACTGGTTAAGAATTTGATTAGGATGCTGTGTTTTATTTTATTTTGTCTTATTGTTAAACCGTTCCAAGACTACAGTAAGGAACGGTCTAAAAAAGTTTTAATGATTTTTTTAAAAAAATGAGGAGCACATCCCTTCATGCAAGACAGCAAGCAATTGTGAAAGGATTCTGCCCTGGGAAACCGCTCTTGTGCATCCACATGGAAAAGGCCGAGGATGCTGTTCCTTTTATGTTCCACATATTGGTAGCACAGAGATGTGCAAGATAAAAAGCTATAGATGGAGCTGAGAATGGAAGCGACTCATGCATATTTTGAGTTGGGAGCTAATGGTATGAATTATCTGAAATGGCATTTGGAGAGAGTTAAATGCAAGCCGGAGCAAAGCAGAGGGAGAAAAATTACAGACAAGGAACTGGTGGGAAGATTGTTTCATCTTTCTTTGACATCACCTGGAGGCAGAGTCACTATCAGAAATAATGAGGGCCGTCCCACACAATTTTTCTGGTCATGCTATTTCAAGAGCAAAAAACCCAGAAGCAGACCCTCCTGCCCCCCTACTGCCTGGATGAAAAGAAACAAGGTCCTTCAGCCCCAGAGGGGGGATGAAAGGGGAGAACACAGAGAAAGAAGAGAGAGATGAGGACTCGGGGCCAGCACTCTCCCTGGCGAAAGCCCATGGGTAGCGGTTGCGTTATGCCAGGGATCCATTTGGCCCGACTTATAAAGAAAAAAAGAGATATTAAAATAAGCCAGTTGCCATGACCACTCAAAGTACATTCCCTCTCCCTGCTTCTCCTTTTGATGGATTTTTCTAGAAATGAATTGCCGTGGCAATAGAAGGGAGCTCTAAAAATACGCAGTTGTTTTCTTCCAGATTTCATGTTCTCTGCCACTCTTCCCCCAAATCTGAAGATAAAATGCATGAAGAAACAGGGGGAGGTGATCTAGTTTTTTCTGCATGCAAAACTGCAAAAAAGAAAAAAAAGGAAGTGCTGGCTTTTTCTTGTACTTTCCTCCTGCAGCGAAAGCTTGGCTTCTGTTCCTCACACATAAGAAACGATTGCAGGTCGATTTCTTCAGTCATGACTTGGTGACACTCTGCTCTAGCAACCTTTAAAAGGCACAGAAACATAGAAACAGAGCAAGTCAGAAGGGGCCTCCCGGGCCATCTAGTTTGAGCCCCGGCTCCGCTCACGACATGCCCACCATGTGCATGTCCAGCCTATCTTTGAACACCCTCACCGATGGGGCCTCAGCCACCTCCCGGGGAAGCCCGTTCCATGCCCTCGGGGTCCTGACTGTCATCAAGGTTCTAGTATTATTACTATTATTATTACATTTATATGCAGCCTTTTTTCCTCTCGTGAGGAACCCGAAGTGGCTTCCATGGCTCCGTTTTAGCCTCACAACACTCATCCTGTGAGGTAAGCTGGACTCGGAGTTCTTGACTGGCCCAAAGTCACGGCCAAGTGGGGCCTTGAACTCACATTTCCTGGGTCCCCAGGCCAGGATTTAACCCCCCGTCCCACTGCACCTACGAAGAATGCATGCGACACCCTGGACAAGCATTTCTCAGTAAAGCCACGCGTGAGGAAGGAGGCTGCCGCTCAGATCCGGCGCTA